CCTTTTTTCTTTTTTTCCCTCCTCGTGCCTGATGGACGAGCTCCTCTCCTTCTCCGTCCATCCACCATCCCGCCGCCGTCGCCGCGGTGGACGGTTCCGGAGGCAGTCTGCGGCGACCGGCCCGGTCGCTGCCGAGCAGAACTTCAGAGCTGGTTCCGGTGTTTTCGTGGGAGCGGGGTTCGCCGCCTCACCTCCCAGGTTTCCGGTGGGGGCGAGATCCAGCGTCCCGCGGGAGCTCCGGTCCACTCCTGCTCGGTTCGGTAAGTCCGGTCCGGTTGACGTTACAGGGGCGGGTTCCGTCGCCTCACCTTCCAGGTTCCTGGTGGGCGCGGAATCCGGCCTCTCACCGTCACTCCGCGCCGCAGCTGTTCGACCCAGCCTGGCCGTACCTCCGGAGAGTTTTCTTTGTGACTCCGTGGGGGCGTGTCCCGCCGCCTCACCTCCCAGGTTCCGGTGGGGGCGGCACCCGTCACCACACCCACTCACACTGACCTTCCTTTTTTTTCCCCTGAGGATATTTCTAATATTAATCAGACTATTCTCAAACTGTTTAGTTCTGCAAAAAGAAACCCATCCTCTTTTGATTTAGTTTTGACCCAGATGAAGGATTTTTTACTTTCTGTCCCAGGCCTTTCTTTACTCCCAGAATATGATTTTTTGCTAACAGAAATAGAGACTCTAAAGACTCCTTTTTCAGCCATTCCTGAGGGGGTCCCGGCTGACGCTCCTCATCTCTCCTACTCCGAGGGGGTCCCGGCTGACGCTCCTCATCTCTCCTACTCCGAGGGGGTTCCGGCTGACGCTCCTCATCTCTCCTACTCCGAGGGGGTCCCGGCTGACGCTCCTCACCTCTCCACATCTCCAGAGGGGTTGACGCTCTCCACATCTCCAGAGGGGTCGACGCTCTCCACATCTCCAGAGGGGTAGACGCTTGTTGCTGTTTGACGTATTGTTTTGATTGTTTACTGCTATTAGTGTTTAGTGTATTATTAGTAGAAGTGTTTTAGTTGATATTTTTCTTAGTTCATATCTTAGATCTTATTACTGTTTTTCTTTTACATTTTATTGTTGTCTGTAACTGGGACCCTGTATACATAATTTATTTCATCCCACCACATGTTCAACAAGTGGTGAATATTCAGTATTTATTCAACATTTTATATTTTTACTTTAAAAATAAAATAAAAGCAAGTCCTTATCGGCACAAATAAAGTGATGTGGAACATGTTGCATCTGTTCTTACCAAGCACAGAAGGCTGCAGCATTGTGCTGCTCTGTGACGTGCAGGTGGGCTGTGATGGAGCTCTGTCAGGTGTAGACTCCACTGATGGAGCAGGGACAGAAGCCAGGAGGCTTGGAGGGTTTAATGTGGAGTTTAGAGACGAACTGTCACGTGCTGAAATACGTTCTGGATAAAATACAGTGAGAAACGGGACCAGAGGACAGTTAGCGTTTATGCAAATTAGCTTAGCATCGTAGCACCGATGTTGTCCTATTATGGCGTCAGCCTCTTTTGTTAGTTAAAAATATGTTCAGAACCGATGGGATGAGTAACTTAAAATATGTTTAAAGTTAGAAAACACTCACCATCTTCTATAAATGATTCAAGTAGAGCAGTGGCCGTGTCCAAACCACCCTCCAACTGCTCCATCTAGCTCGCTTTGACTTTTTTCGTCGGCCACGAAGCACAACAACACCTGCACTTCTGCATTTGACCACAGCTTTGATATTATTGTTTTTGTATAGCTTCAAAATACTAAAAGATATGCTCCTCGAGTTATCGCTAATGGCAGGCGGTAGAGAAAAATGGCAGATCGGGTTGCTTGGAAAGACTCCACAGACTCCTCCCCCCGACCAATCAGTGACAGACAGTGTTTCTGACGTCACGGCTCGGCTCGCTTGGACCCCTTGAGAAGCCGGGCCAGAATTCTGGGAGGTGAGCCGGTCCCAAGAACTATGGAAAAGACCTCAAACACACATCAAGCCGGAAATATCCGACCCGCGCCAAGACATTGGAAAAGGGGCATACGTTATAAAACTGAAACTGTAACTGTTGATTACCACACGACATGTGGAAAAGCATATATGAAGTGCTTGTCAAACATTTGCAACAAAACAGGAAGTCACAATAACTCCTGTCTGGAAGGTCGGATTTCACGTATACTTGTATGACATGGAGCTGGACTAGTACTGACATGGACGGAAGGCAATGTCAAAGATTCAGGAAATGGGCTTCTTTCTGTTTGTTTTAGCTACTATTCAGCTGTTTTGAGCGAATTTCAGCTTTTCTCTGATAATTTCAACTTTATTGTTCTAATTTATTCCTACTTGAGCCTTAGTGGGCACAATTAAGCTCTTTCCACTTCCTTTTGGAAATTTAAGCTTCTTTCTAGATTTCTTTAGCTACTATTCAGCTGTTTTATAGAAAAACTGAGATAACTCTGCCATTTTCAGTTATTCAGCTGAGATTTGGCGTGTTGGTAGCTGAGAACAGTTCCTAATAGGCTCTGACTATAAATCAAATCAAAATTCAGCTATCTAAAAAAGTTCAATCTGGTCCTCTGGACATTCAAAAAAACAAAAAACAAAACAAAGCAAAAAAAATGTAGATACGTTTCGTCTTTCATCCGAAAGACTTCCTCAGTCTGAGGTGCTGTATTCAGCTCAGTCTCTTAAATAGCACCTTGTCAGAGTGGCTCAATCAGTTTGCTACTGACAACCAAAACCAGCTGCTCACATGGTCAAGAAGGACCATCAGCCTAACAATGGATCATTAGCACACTGATGGCTGTTTACTATTCACAGAGGGTTGAGTGATATTAGCAAACTAGTATTTTGCTACTAGTATTTACTAGTATTTTGACAGACTTCCCTCTCTCCAGCCACTTGGGCCAGCTCCTCTGGGGGAATCCCGAGGCGTTCCCAGGCCAGCCGAGAAATATTGTCCCTCCAGCGTGTCCTGGGTCTTCCTCTGGGTCTACTACCGTTGGGACGTGTCTGGAACACCTCACCAGGGAGGCGTCCAGGAAGCATTCTAACCTTGTCGCTAGACATTCTTCCGGTAAGGTAAGCTGATGGAAGGCAGCTCCCCTGGCTTCTCTGCAGCCCATAACATCAAACTAACCCGTTTGTCGAGCCGGACTAAAACTTGGTCCCTCTTCCAACCGAATTCCGTGTTCAGTTGACTCAGAGAGCCGGATGGGACCATCCGAAAAATTATTTTGGTCCAGGACCGGCCGCTCCCACCCCACCAGTCAATCCGAGCGCAGCCTAGTTGTCCGAAGGTCCTTTTTTTCCCTCTCCAGATCCCAACCGAATTCTTCATCCAGACCTTGGTGGTTCTGCTGGGTTCTGACCAGGATTGGTGTGTGGTATTTTGCTGGCTTTCTGTTGGACTGGCTCCTCGTGGATTTCTGCAGTCGGTGTGGGGGAAGTTGACCTGAATTGGACCAGAACCGAGCTGGGCTGTGGAGGAATTCATCCCAAACAGAGCCGGTCTCAACTTCAGCGGGCAGCCCATTACCTTTCACCGAAGGATCGTCCACCTCCATGGGGCTTGCTGTTGGCCGCGGTGGTGCCTGACGGAACCGGACCAGAACAGAACTGAGCCAAGGACGACTTCAGCCTCTCCGGTCCGTTCTCAACATCCTTAACACTCAGTTTCACCTGGTCAATTTCTGCTCTGAATGCCATGATGCTGTTAGCCACCTCTGCTCTCACTTCTTTAAGTTCACTTTAATAAAGGCGAGATCATCTGCGAGGGCGACTTTCATCGCCGATCTAATCATCGCTGAAATTTCTGCTTTTATTGAAGCCAGAATGTCTGACTTCAGGGCCAACACGTCCATCTCTCTGGAACCTGGTGAGAGCGGAGCCGAGCCCCCGTCTTTAGATGTACCGTGACCTGAGACATGTCCGGCCCAGCGGCCACAGAACCCATAGTCTTATATTTCGTCAATTTTTATTCCATTCTTTAGCTCTACCGAGTCAGTCACACAACAATGCAGAATTCTGGAGCATCCAATGTTTAAGCAGCGAGGATATCCTCAGAAAAGGCAGTTCTTAAGTAGCAAAGGTAGGAGCCTGAGCTAAAGCACACCCTAGCATGCTGCCACCATCTTGTCCCTCCTACATCCAGTTGATGCAAATTTTGACCTGGTTTTAATAATTATACCGTACCAGTGTTAATTCTGTTCTCTTAATGCTAATTCTGTTAATGGTACTTGTACCATGGCTTATTCTAGTAAAGCTAGCTCTACTGCTACAAATTCAGCTAATGCTAATTTTGTCCTGCACTTTGCTAATGATTTTATATTTTTTAGCATGTATCCAACATATTCTAGTGTTCTACTAGATTATCCCTTATTTTTGTTCTAGCTAGCGTTTTTCTGTTTACTATAAACATTTTGCTACTTCTGGCTTTTAGCTAGCATTTTCCTTTTGCTACTTCTGGTTAAATACTAGTGTTTTCCTTTTGAGTTAACAGTTTGCTGCTTCTGGTAGTAAGTTAGCCTTTTTTCTGCATTGAGAATGTTTTGCTACATTTGTCTAATTATGGGAGTTTTCTGCTTTTTATTTATTCATTTATTTTAACTCTTTGCTATTTCTGACTCTAAGCTAGCATTTTCCTGCTTTTTGCTAGTGTTTTGCTATTTCTGGCTAAATAGTAGTATTTTTCTACTTTATGCTAGCATTTTGGTACCTTTGGCTAATTATTTTTTTCTACTTCTTGCTCTTAGCTAGCTATCTAGTTTTCCCTTATTGTGCTAGCATTTTGCTACTTTTAGCCTATAACTAGTCTTTTGCCATGTTTACCTTAAATAAAATATTTTTTTATTTTAGCTTTCAGCTTCTTCAGCAAATTTCAGCAAAATCATTTAGCAAAAACATGCACATTGTATTTTTCCAGGAAATGTAAATTCTCTAGTTTAATATTATCTCTACTGGTGAAAAACTTCTCAGCACATAAGTATACAAACACACACAGAATGATGACTCACCAGTAGACTCACTGTGGACTTTGGCATGGAAAAGGCTAAGCAGGTAGTTGCTGGTCTGTTGCAGCAACACATTGTTGTCACCTTCATAAGTACAGTTTGGGTCATTATCATCTCGTAGATCACCCAGACGATTCACTGCAAAACACAAAGTAATGCCAGTTTGGCCACAACGGGATTTAGGTGTGTGTGTGTGTGTGTGTGAGAGAGTATTTCAGACTGACTGGCCAAGTATCCATGTCCTCCACAGGCTTCCCTGCACTCCTGGATGCCCTTTTGAGCAATCCAAGAGCCTAACGGTTTACTACAACATCCTATAGCATGGATCTCCCTGCCCATATCTGCCTGTCAAACACATAAGAGTGAAATATTAATAAACTGCAAACAAGGACAGCTGTGGACAAGCCAAATCTTTACTCACCTGTCTGCCACTGTTGTCCTTCATCATTTGTCCAATCTGGAACTCAACATAGTTCATAAAGATGGTTCTGGTGAAGTGCTCTAGAGCGTATGCTGCTGCCAGGTATGGGATCAGGCGCCATTGCTAGAACACATGATCCAAATATGCTGTTAACAATCCAAGTGCTGCCATCAGCCCATTCACTGATCCTTTCCCTTCAGAGCTCTTAACGTGCGTTCATATGGAATCTTTTATCTTACAATGAAGGGGAGTGATCTCATTTTTCAGGAAGTCAGTGGTTAAACAAGTATTATGAGAGGAAAGGAAAAATGTCTGAGCCAAAGTAAAAGGATCGATATCTCCAGAGCCACTGAAGCTCTTAGGAGGTAATCAATATATGCAACAACAATTATTTACTTTTTACAGATAGAGAACTAAGATTTGGTGTGGTAGTAGCAAAGAGTCATCCTTAACACATACACCAAGTACTAACAGATCACACAAAATCAGTTTAACTGTTGGAATCAACCCTATCTGTATGTTTGCAAAATATCTCATGAACCACTGGACGGATTTTAATAAAACAAAGTAATTTTTAGATGCAAACGTAAAACTGATCTGACTCATTCTGATTCTAAATGGCAACCAAAGCTAGCTTTAGTTCTCTGCTCGAACTCAGTTTACAGACCTTCAGCTAAACATATGTATTCATAGCAGAGGCATTTACTTGAGTGTGATATGTCCCAAAACTTCCCAAACATTATTTTCAAGGTTTGACCAACAGTATGAATATATCATAAAATTATCTTAATCTAAAACTCAAACAAGTGATTTGTATTCCTTAAAAATATGCTAGCACATCCTAGTTTTATTTCATTTTACTTTTGTTTGTCCGACTGTATCTCATTTGATTTGATCTTCCCCTCCCACCTGTAGCTGGTACTCCAAGACTGGGATCTCCTCTGTGTCGTTGGGCCCAAACTGTCTCCTGACAGCAGAGAAACGGATCCCCACAGTCAGAGCCAGCTTCAGGTTAATGAGAGACATCCTGCCAATGTAAATCCTGCCCCCTGAAAGGGCACCCAACGAAGCCCCAAAACGCTTGCTGGGATCCTGGAAGAGAACAAAAAAAAAACAGTGGAGCACAACAACCACACAGTATTTCTCCAAAGTTTTAATCTTTGTGTAAGATAAGCTGTTTAACGACAAACCTTAGAGTGGTTGTGATGAAGTAATCACGACAGGAAATGTATTTTATGAAGCTCAGCAGAACCCAACTGTTGTGATGCTGACAAGCTAAAATTATCTAACATTTTTCTGCAGCTGCCTCAACTCTCTGCTCACTGGGGGCCTTTGGTATGAACAAAGAACCACATTCTACACATTTAGGAATTAAACACTGCGTGAAACTTTTCACACGCTGTGAGAATGTCTGCAACCCTCTTCAGTCTGCAGTATCAAACTATAAAGTGCTGAAACTCACCAAAATACACCAAAATATGACTCTAGTTGGTTTTATGAACTCAGGGAGCATTTACAGTGATGCTTAAAAGTTTGTGAACTCTATAATTTTCTATATTTCTGAATAAATATGACCCAAAACATCAATGGATTTTCACACAAGGTCAAGTTTTCTTTATTTGTCATTCGCGGAATGAAATTGTGTACAAAGGGTCCCAGCTACATCCAACAAAAGCAAAAATTGTACAGAAAAACAGTAGTAAGAGCTAAGATAAGAACTAAGAAATATGCTAAACTAAGAATACACTGAGCAGTACAAAAACAATACGCCAAACAACAGCAGCATGAACATGCGTCTGTGTGAGCAACAAGTCAGTGAGACACAAGTCCTAAGAGTAGATAAAAGAGAACCCAGTTCAACAAATGCGACAAAAAAATATATTTGGTCATTTATTTATTGAGGAAAATGAACCAATATTACATATTTGTGAGTGGCAAAAGTACGTGAACCTCTAGGATTAGCAGTTAGTTTAAAGGTGAAATTAGAGTCAGGTGTTTTAAATCAATGGGATGATGAGCAGGAGCGAGTGGACACCCTGTTTGATTTAAAGAACAGTGATCTATCAAAGTCTGCTTTTCACAACATGCTTGTGGAATTGTATCATGGCACGAAAAAAGGAGATTTCTGTAGACCTCAGAAAAAGAGCTGTTGATGTTCATCAGGCTGGAAAAGGTTTGAAAACCATCTCTAAATAGTTTGTACTCCACCAATCTACAGACAGACTGTGTAGAAATGGAAGAAATTTGAGAACATTGTTACCCTCCCCCAGAGTGGTCGTCCAACAAAAATCCCTCCAAGAACAAGGTGTGGAATAGTTGGCGAGGTCACAAAGGACTCGAGGGTAGCTTCTAAGCAACTGAAGACCTCTCTCACATGTTAATGTTCATGGGTCCATCATCAGGAGAACACTGAACAACAATGGTGTGCATGGCGGGGTTTAAGGAGAAAGCCACTGCTCTCCAAAAAGAATATTGCTACTCATCTGCAGTTTGCTAAAGATCACGTGGACAAGCCAGAAGGCTATAGGAAGAATGTTTTGTGGACGGATAAGACCAAAATAGAAAGTGTTGGTTTAAATGAAAAGTGTTATTGTTGGTTTAAATGAAAAGTGTTATATTTGGAGAAAGGAAAAGAAAGTACCATATTTCTGGGACTTTGGAACACACCTATGTCTAAGCCACATTTATTAAATATAAGATAAATCATAATTTTGTACAGGGTAGCACGGTGGCGCAACTGGTAGAGCTGCTGCCTCTCAGCGAGCAAGTCCTTGGTTCAAACCCCGGTCCAGGGGCCTTTCTGGGTGGAGTTTGCATGTTCTCTCCGTGCATGCGTGGGTTTTTTCCGGGTACAACGGTTTCTTCCCACAGACCAAAAACATGCATGTTAGGCTGATTGGTAACTCTAAATTGTCCCTAGGTGTGAGTGAGAGAGTGAATGGTTGTTTGTGTCATTTGTCTCTATGTGGCCCTGTGATGGACTTGCGACCCGTCCAGGCTGTACCCCGCCCCTCACACAGTGATTGTTGGACATGGGCACCAGTGACCCCCGTGACCCAAAATGGAATAAGCGGGTAAAGATGATGGATGGATAATTTTGTACATAAATAAGACACTACGGTTATTAAGCCATGGGCATCCACTATTCAGAATCTGTGACCAGTCTGCTCCGGTTGTGTGCAGCTTTCTTGTAGTACAAGAATCAGCAAAATGATGGCTTTTCACAGAATATAGCTTGCTTTCAATCCACACTCAGACTGCAAGATTTTCACGTCTTCATGAAGCTTTGCTGTCTGACTCATGGTTACAACCATTATACCTTCAAAATGAACACAATAACTAAGCATAATCACTGGACAGACCAGGGCCAAACACCTATGTAATTGAAATTATTATTTTTTTTAAATTACCGGTAAAACCCAGTCTTATCTAGGTCATGTGACCAGAAGTCAAATGGTACTGGTAGAATGTGGTAAATATTCATTAAATTAGTACCATTGATTTTTATTGGTAAATACTTTTGTTAACTGCTATTTTTAAATGTACTTTCTAAATAAATTTGACGTGATTTCTGCTCAGCAAAGAGCTCATATGAGCAAGCCAGAGGAAGAGTCCCTCCAGAGTGAGCAAACCTCTGCCAATACTCATGCCTCCTGAGACAGTCAGAGACTGCCCAACAGCAGGCACTGCAGAAGGTACAGAGGACCTCTCAACAGAGAACACAGTCCTGGTAAGTTATCCTTCAAAAGCATGTGGAACCGAAAACACCCAACCGGTGAACCCGACTCTGACTGAACAAGAAAGCCTCCTCTGCGAGCTGAGACAGTCAGGGCCCACCGGATACTACCTATCATTGGTAGTTAAAGGTATAGAGATCCAAGGATCCCACACCAAAGATGCTGTACTGTCGCCGGGGACAGATGAACCAGCTATCAAGGACGGAGCCGTGGACAGCCCTCAGAGGTCCTCTGACCCCTCCTGGCTGCTCGCAACTCTGTCCGTACAACCTACAGCCGAGGTAATGGCAGTCACACGTGCACAGGCTACAGCCAAGCCGGCTGACAACACAGTCTCTGTACAACCCGTGCTGACTGACCCAGACATCATCCAACTTCAGAAGTTGGATCCTGCAATAAACTCGATGATGCTGTACTTGACTGACCCAGAGAAAAACTCTCCGTCCGAAGCAGACCTGGATTCCAATCCAGACCTTAAAGCCCTCTTTCAGTTGCGCTAACAGCTAAAACTACTCAAGGGCATCCTAACTTTTGCTCATGGACCGACGTCCTCAACCGTGTTCGTGGTCCCCCATGACCACAGGGGGGTGATGTTAGTTCATGCGCATGACCTCCCGTCCGTAGGACACAAGGGAGATAACGCCACACTGAAAGCATTAAAACAAGTTACTTATTGGCCTGGAATGAAAAAGGATGTCAAGAACTATATTAAAGGGTGCCTGGTCTGTGGCCAGAGTCAGCCACCCAGACCACTCCACAGAGCAACACTGCAAAGTAGAGGCATTGCATTCCTGTGGTCCGACCTCCAGATCGACTGGGTTGGACTACTTCTGTTAATTCTCACCCTCTTGGGAACCATCCAAAGGTCACCACCTCGGACAAGCCGAGGTGGTGACCTTTGGACCCACCTCTGGCATAATTCTTAGGGATCAACCTGGACTGCTCATCACGAACTGTCGTCTTCACACACAGAAGGTCTTCGTCTGTTTCGATCCCTACACTGTTATCAAACAGCACATTGACATCAAAGACGAATGGTTCAACAAACTATGGTATACATTACCAATCCAAAATGCAAACGAGGAAATCTAACACATTTTGAAGCAGTTACATAAGTTCACTCTCACTCAAGAGGAAGTGAGTGGAACCCATAATCGGTAGAAGCGTAGCATTGCTGGGCTTCTTCTTGCTACCTCCTCTCTCGGATCATTGTTTAGCCTAGGCTTATCAGCAGTCAACGCCGTCAGTATAACATCCTTGAAACAACATGTGAATGAAATCGAGACAGAGATCCCATGGATTAAAACACAGATGGATCAACAACAAACACAATTCACACAGGTGACTAAAACGGTAAAAGATACTATCTTAGTATCGAATACCCACACGCGGGAAATTAAGGCCCTTGCGAACATCGTTAGTGAACTAAAACGTGACGTAGAAATGGACTTCGCCGTCGTACACCTGATAGATAAGATCCTCACGGACACGTTTAGAGACATCAGCTCGTCGGTTGATACTTTAGCCACCAGCAGGATCCCACCCTATCTCGTCTCCCTACAGATGGTGAGTGACATCCTTAGTTCCGCCACAAACGAAAAAGTAAGGCCAATCCAGGCTCACCTGGCTTATGCTCTCGGTAGCGCGATCCCAATTCACGTCAGGCACAAGGCGCGTGAAGTTGCATTCGTTATCAACCTACAGATCATCCCTGCGAATGGCATCTACAGACTCAAGGATGTCGTTATTGTTGGAAATTGGCACGGTGATAAATACGTCAAAATCAACACCCCTCAGGTCGTTGCTTATCACGATAGTAACCCCACTGTCTATTTAGCTCCAAATCTCCAGATGTGTACTCCCACTCATGAGATACATTATCTGTGTCCGAGCAAGCCCTTCATCTGGCACAATGCCGCAGGTATTTGTGGTATTACACCCATTGCGAGAGATTGAAAATGTGCAACAACCATAACACCGTGAAGGCAAGTGACAGCCACTCAGGTGGAAAGAGTCGGTTCACGGTGGATGGTTAACACTCCCCAACGGAAGACGATCATAGCCTATGAACACGCCGAGGCCAATAGACCCTTGGTCTTACCGGACAAGACAATGTGGATCGATGTCCCTCAGGGAACAACCATACACATTGGCGACTTGACGCTCTATCACCTCAGCCCGGATCAATGGGAAACGGCTCTAGAATGAAGCTCTAGAGTGAAACAAAGCACTGTCCAACGCACTAGCTGTCCGTGGATCAACAATGAAATCCTTAGTTTGAGGAGAACATGTCGTAAAACTGAACGTCTGTGGAAACGTACTGGGTTGGTGGTTCATAGACTACATCTTAAAGAT